CTACAATTTACTTTTGTACAGTACCTTGAACATAAAAAAACACCTACATGAAAGAGCTACAGAAGAAATTTTTCAGACCTTTCAAATAAATAGTGGAATACGCTCAGCTTTGCTGTCAGAGTGCAGAAAAATAAACACAAGTTTGTCAAAATAGGTGGGTTTCAAGGCATGTTTTAAAGACACGATGCAAGGCATATTGAGCAATGCAGAAAATTAGGCCAAATACAGGAGGGAGATGTATAAATAAGGCAGAAGTAAAGAACACAGGGTACAGGGAGAGCTAGAAAATCTAAAAGGTTCCCTATAAAGGCTAAGATAGGAGCAAGATGTATCTGAAAATTAAGATTAAGCATTGAAATTCAGTGCATTGAGATCAGTGTAAATCAGCAAGGATCAGGTAACATTCTAGTATGGTCAAATGAGATTAAAAAAAGTGTACTAAATAACTGAGCTTTGAAAGAGTTTGATAGAGGTCAACAAAAGACTGAGAAAATTAAGTCTAGGTAAAAGCATGGTTAAAGATTTCAGTGACAGTGGGAGTGAGATCACTGTAGAGCCAGGTGAAGTTTAAAAGATAAAAGTAAGGAATTTGGTGCTGGATAGGACGTATTCTAAACATCACCCTCGGTCAAAATTGGCAAGGGAGTGAATTCCACAATGTGGACTTAAAACTATGGATTGTCTTTCCAACATTCAAATGGAGGAAGTTTTGATGAATGTTTGATTGTGGAGATGATCATCAGATTAAAGGAAGGAGTAGGTAGTCAGATCTGGGTTTCACAGAATGTCCAGGAAGGTCTTGGTTCTGCTAGTAAAATGTGAAGCAAACTGTATTTTAGGAAAAGACAGATGTACAGCTAAAATGATAAGTTCAAGTGAATAGAGATGAAAGGGAATTGACATGGGACAGTGCTAGAGGACAAATAAGATAGTGGTAGGTTATTTAGTGAAACAAGATGATAATAGCAATTTTAAAAGAGAAATGGATATTGCCTGAAGTGATTGACAGCATCTGCAAACCAGATGTTCAGAATTTGCTAAGGTACAGATCAAAAAAGTACAAAGTGAGCCTTGCTGATCAACTGAGCATTTTTCAGAAAACTTGAAGAATCTGATTTGATGAAGGCCAGTCATTCTCTAGTTACATTCAAGTATGCATGCCTTGGAAGTAAACACAAGGGTCAATGATGGATTATGATACATATTGCAACATTATTGTTAATATGTAACTTGATCATTGAAACAAGTTTCATATATTGAGATTCATCAATACAAACCAAAATCATTTGGACAAGGAACAAAATCAATAATTGATTAATTGACAATTTCAAAATCTTCAAAAATCTTAGTCCAAATTCCCACTTAAAAAGCAGGTCATTCTATTGTTCAAATTAAGTATTCTTTTCTGCTCATCATACAGTCCAATACCTCTTTCATAACATGCTCCCTCATTCTCAACCGTTCTTCCTCCATCTCTATCATATCATCTTCCTCATTGTTAGGATCATAAATCTTCTCCAGCTGCATGTTTAATAGAAAGAGGAAGTAACTTAAAATCAAATCTCTGACATTACTGTTCATCCAAGTGGAACTTATCAAAGCCAACATCTACACACTTTTCAGAGAAGCACATTCTATTGTTATTAAAAATACTCAAAATTAATGAAATAGCAAGAACTGCAGATGCTGGATTCAGAGATAACAGAGTGTGGAGCTGGAGGAACACAGCAGGCCAGGCAGCATCAGAGGAGCAGGAAAGCCGACGTTTTGGGTCGGGACCATTCTTCAGAAATTTCTGATGCTGCCTGGCCTGCTGTGTTCCTTCAGCACACACTTTGTTATCTCAAAATTAATGAACCTTTCCAAGAATTCTGAAGTTCTCATTTGTATGATCTTGCATTTACTAAAGTGTTAAAAGTAGAGATACAGATAGCAGGCAGTGTGGTGTGGCAAGATTCAAAAATGCACTGGAGTTCATATGTAAATTTTATTTCTCCTCACTGGTTTGGAACAGCTACCACTGCGCTACACAGGTAAATTTTGAATAGAGTTGGCAACTCAAGGCTGGGTATACATGATGCATTGTGAGTCATCATCAGCAGCAATATTGTACTCTAACACAATCTGAAACCTCATGGCCTGGCATATCCCCAACTCTACCTGATACAATCAAACCAGGGATCAGCACTAGCTCAAAAAAAAAATTCAGGAGGGTATGCTAGGGCCAACACCATGTATACCTAAAAATGAGGAGTCAACCTGGAGAAGCTACAACACAGGACTAATTGTATGTCAAACAGCATAACAGCTAGTTATAGAGAGTGCAAAGTCATTTCACAACCAGCGGATCAAGATCTAAGTTCTCCTTTCCTGCTACCTCCAGTTGAGAATAGTGGTAGACTATTAATCAGTTCACTTGAAGAGAATCCACATACATCACCATCCCCAATGATGGGGAGTTTAGCATATCAGTGCAAAAGATAAGGCTGAATCGTTTGCAAAAAAATTCAGCCAGAATGCCAAGTGGATAATCCACTTTGGCCTCCTCTGCTAATCCCCAGCATTGCAGATGCGAGTCTTCAGGAAATCTGATTCACCTCCAATGATATCAAGAATCAACTGAAGGCACTAAAATACCACAAACTTAATGAAACCTGACAACACTCTGGCAATAGTACTGAAGATCAATGCTTCTTCTAAGCTGTTCACAGCCACTCTGAGGTCCACACACAGTAATTGGTGTGCCAACACCATTCGCAGCATTGCCACACACAGTCCTTGGAGATGCATGCACAAGAAAAAGAAATAATAGTAGTGAAGACTTGTGCTCCAGAACTTTCCATGCCGCTGTTCAAAAGATTCCAATACAGCTACAATACTGGCATCTACCTAATGAGGAAAATTGCACAAGTATGTTTTGTGTTCAAAAAGTTGGACAAAGGGGGACATGGTGCATCATAGTAATGTCGCTGGATCCCAGAGCAATATTCTGTGGACATGATTGGAATTTCACCACAGCAGATGGTGAAATTTACACTGAAATTTTAAAAATTTGGAATAAAACCTCATCTAATGGCAACTCATGTGGCCACTGCTGATCGTTGTCGAAACTCATCTGGTTCACTAATATCTTTCAGGGAAGGAAATCTGTCCTCCTTACCTGATCTGGCCTACATATGAGTCAAGACCAACAGCAATGTAGATACCCTCTGAACAATTAGCGATGAGCAATAAATGAGAGCCCAGCCAGTAATGTCACATCCCTATATTAAATGATACTAACCTGGCTAATTACTGACCCATCAGTCTGCACACAATCACTAAAGTGATGGAACAGATCATCAACAATGCTATCAAGCTCAGCCTGGGATATGTCAGGGCAATTCAACTCCTGATCTCGTTGTAGCATTGGTTCAAACATGGACAAAGGACCTGAATTCCTGAGGTTAGGTGAGAGTGATTCCCTTGACATTAAGGCTGCATTTAACCAAGTGGAACATCAAGGAGCTCCAGCAAAACTAGAGTCAATAGGAATTGGAAAAACTCTCCACTGGTTGGCATCATACCCAGCTCAAAGGAAAATGATTGGGGCTGCTGTAGATCAGTCATTTAAGAGTTCTTCAGGGTAGCATCCCAGGTACAATTATTTACAGTTGCTTCATAAATGATTTAGACTCCATAACAAGGTCAGAAGTGGGGTTTTTTTGCATAATGCTTAGCACCATCCACAACTGATTAGATAATGAAACTGTCCATATTCAGTTACAGCAAGACCTGGACGATATCCAGTTGAGAAGTGGCAAGTAACATTTGCAAGGCAATGCCCATCTCCAACAAAAGAAAAACTAACCATACTCCCCAGACATTCAATGGCATTAGCATTACTGAATCTCCCACCATCAAAATCCTGGTAATCAGCACTGACTATAGACCGAAACCAGACTAGCCATTCAATGCTATCGCTAAAACAGCAGGCCAAAGGTTACGAATCCTGCAGTGAGTAACTCACCTCCTGACACCCCAAAGCCTGTCCATTATCTTACAAAGCACAAGTCAGGAGTGTGATAGAATACTCTCCACTTACCTGAACGACTGCAACTCTAACAACATTAAAGAAGCTCAACACTATCCAGGTCAAAGCAGGTTGCAAACCAGATAAAATAACAAATGCACAGTAGCAGCAGTTTGCAGCATCTATACGATGCAATGCAGAAATTCACCAAGACACCTTAGGCAATAACTTTTCAAACCCATGATACTACCATCTGGAAGGAGAAGAACAATAGATACCTGGGAGCACCATTATCCTGCAAGTTCCCCTCCAAGCCACTCACCACCCAGATTTGGAAATATATCACCATTCCTTTGGTGTCATGGTCAATAACCTTGAACTCCCTCCCTAAGAGCATCGTGGATCTACCTACACTAAATGGACTGTAGCCGTTCAAGAAGGCATCTCAGCACCACCTTCTCAAGGGCAACTAGGGAAGGGCAATAAATGCTCATTAGACAGCAATGTCTAAATCCAATAAGTGAATGAAAAAAATGTTAGTACAAGAGGGATCACGTTAAGAAACGCTATGTTGTTCAAATTTATGCATTACTTACTAAATATTTCTATCATTTTTGCATTCTTTGATTAATAAGTTAATATTCTTATAACTATATATATTTTAAATTTGGGAGTTGGTGATATGAAAGTATCTCAATGAAAGTACAGCAGCAACATTTCCAAAAATGGGCAAGTGTCATGTGATCAAATATCACACGATTACTAGTTTGTCAAATCAGAGTCGGCAAATCTTAATTAAATGTTAATCTGTTGAAATGAGTTCAGTTTTCCGTTATGTACAGCTGTCGAAGACATTCTGAATTACATCAGAGGAACCAAAAATCAACATGTGTAAAAGTATCGAGAAGGCACTGACCCAGTGCAATGTCGTCACTAACTATAGGCTCCTTTACAGGAAGGCAATGCCTCAAATAAGAAACTTGAAATGAATTATATTCAAAGTCTGGAAACCCAGCATAGTTATTTTATCAGAACATCAATGTTATTAGAATTCAGGTGAGAATCCTGTCGATAGAATTTAAAAGGTTAAATAAAGTAAAATAAAATAAAATAATTATTCACACAAGCACCTACAAGTTTGGCCACCCTAATAAGATAAAGAGGACCCAAGAAAGGAATGTGAAGTTAAAGATCACATAAGCAGAGTGGTAAGTCAGAGAAATGATGACAGCCATGTCCTTCTCCAAATGTGGTATAAAGGAGCTTTCCACCAGCATACATGGCTCCAAGCATCCCAATCTCAATTCTAGCTCAATTTGATCATGGATCATGGATCAAGCATAGGCTCTACAATCAAACTGGAGACTGCAAATTTAACCTAACGTTGTATCTTGTATTGTAGAAGTTTTGCAGATATGTCCTCCAAAAACAATAAAATATTAGTTAATTACCTCTTTGGTAAATAATGCTTCCATCTCCTGCTCATCCAAGAATCCATCACCATTAGTATCTAAGGAGAAAAATATTCTCAGTTAACTTTTCATGAAGTACATTTCATAATATACAAACACAAACCTAAAACTACTGTTCCAACTTCTATATTTGATTCTTAGGTTTTGAAATTAGTCCATTATCCTCAACTTAACATTGCCTTCCTGCTATTTTAAAGGAAATATTAATGCAAGCAAGGATTTTGCTTTTTCAAAATTAGTTCCTCATATCGTCGTCAATACTACAAAAGCAGCCATAAAAAGCTGTCTGGATAAATATTTGATTGAGACATCAAACTGTAGAAATACGGGGGAAGAAATGGAACCACCACATTATTCTTCAAGAGTGTCACCCAGATTTGTTGATCGAATGGCCTCCTCGTTGTTGTATTTTATATTTTTCTAGAACATCTAACAATCACAAACTGAAACTCATGATTAACCATTGGGCAGAATCTTTAAAGGGCCTGAGCAATGTGGATTATGGTGAGATTGGCGGAAAAATTGGGCAAGAAGGCTAGAGAGGCCAACTTCAACATTGGGAACAACTCAGAATCCTTATGCATCTCCCTAGCGGCAAGGTGAGTTTCTCGCTAGGCTGCAGAGAGTTGCCAATTAAGGGTGAATTATAGCTGGTTAAATGCCTGACGGGCACAGGAACTGAAGGTAAGTTTGGACTCCCTCAAGTTAAAAGTTACTCAAGGAAAGTTAGACAATTAACAACATATCCTAACCTATGGGTAACTAAATAATTTACCCCACGGCTTACCATCCAAATGCCCCCTAACTCTGACCATTACCACCCCTGTCCCAACACCCCCTGGATCCAACGTGCCAAACACTCCCCATGACTCAATTCCACCTGGCCCAAAACCAATCGCGCTGCTGAATCCAGCAGATACTGATCTAAACACTTCACATGCCTTAAACACACGTCCATTTATCTGAAACCCTACAGTCACCAGCCTCTCACTCTTACGTCCAAATGCCTCACCCACCTGAACCCATAACCTCACACATGTCAACTCTACCGCTTCAACCAGCTGGAAACCTAGACCCTCACCCACTGTTACCCAACACCCACACATATACTACCCAAACCTGTACCAACTAACAATCCACCCCTACACACAACTGGCACATAATCTGCTACTGACTGCCACAAAATCCCCACACCTACATGTTTATCCTTTCACAGTCTCTGTCAAAGTAGCTGCTGTTTGTTTAACCCAAAGAATACAATACTTGCTGACGTAAAATGAGGTTTGGATTCGATGATGCTAGCAGTAGGGAAGATCATCAATGTCTTATTCATCGGATGTAGGAATCAATGGCTAGGGCAGCATTTATTGTCCATCCCTAATTTCCCAGAGGGCAGTTGAGAGTCAACCACATTGCTGTAGATCTGGAATCACATGTAGGTCAGACCAGGTAAGGATGGCAGTTTCCCCTCCCTAAAGGGCCTTAGTGATCCAGATGGGTTTTTTCCAACAATCGACAATGGGTTCATGGTCAGTTTTAGTTTCAGATTTTTACTGAATTCAAATTCTACGCTCAGTTGTGGCAGATTTGAACCCAGATTCCCAGAACATTACCCGAGTCTCTGGATTAACAGTCCAGCAATAATACCACCAGGTCATTATCTCCCACCCGCACTTGAATGGTCTCCTGTACCACAGTGCCATGGTCAGTTTGCACATCAACTCTTCAGCCCTCTGCAACCATCCAAACAAGACAAGAGAAATTAAATCTATCGAATAGCTGCAGCAGCTGACATTCCTGGACTCCTCCCTTCGAGGTTGCCTTACCCGCCTCACTCGCAGTCACACCCTCCTGCCCACATCACTGACAAAATTAGAAGTCACTATCCTAAATAGTGTGAATACCTCCTGGTATAAAGAATCCAGGTAACTCTCTCTTTTCCTGATGTATTGCAATGTTTGTAGTTCAGCCTCCAGCTCAAACTCTAAACTGAAGCTACTCGAACATCAAGTCTTTATTGAAGAAGTATTTGCCTTGGATCACAATGGTATCTAGGAAGTCTGGTGTGCTATATCTTTGATACATCATCTATCAAGTCATCCTTTTAAGTGTTATCCAGCCCAGATACAAGAGGCCGAAAATTGATTAGTCATAACCCTTACCATGCAGTTTGAAGAAGGTCTTGGTATCAAAATCTTCAGGATCGAGGCCATCCGTTTCCTCCCAGACTTCTTTCAACTGATCTTTGCTTCCCTGGAAAGAATAAATTGAACAGTAGGCAAAACTTCTTCAATGTTGAAGTTGTAGCAACCCATGGAGGGATGTGTTACAGTTATTTTCCCAATGTTCATCAAATTCTATCACAAATAAGATCTATTTGAAAAAGGAAGTGGGAGGATTTAGTTTAAAAACGTAATTTCAAACAGAGGACGAACTAAACCACTAAATGTGCGAACAACAGACTGTCAGAGGTTTGGCAGTGAAGTGACAGAATCCCTCATGTCAGTATCTTCAGAATTTAGTGTGTAGCATTTTAACTCCTCTTTCTCAAGGCCTTAAAGTTGGATACAATAAAAGCTGTCTTTATTTTAAAGACATTGTAAACTAAGTTTAAGAATTGCATTAAATAATGGACTGAGTCCAACTGCTCACTTTGACCTATGTTCCCAGAAGGACTGAATTATTGATGGAACTTAACACACAATTATAATAAGTGTATTAGTGAATTAGAAAAATTATTGGTCAATAATTGGTCTTCAAACTTCCATCATTTCACACATTACATTACACACATTATGGGGTGGCACGGTGGCTTAGTGGTAGCATTGCTGCCTCACAGCGCCAGGGACCTAGGTTTGATTCCACCCTCAGGTAACTGTCTGTGTGGAGTTTGCACACACTCCCGGCGTCTGCGTGGGTTTCCTCCCACAATCCAAGATGTGCAATCTAGGTGGATTGGCCATGCTAAATTGCCCATAGTGTTCAGGGATGTGTAGATTAGGTGGGATGCTCTGAAGGTCAGTGTGGACTTGTTGGGCCGAAGGGCCTGTTTCCACACTGTAGGGATTCTATGATCTATGATCATTACAATTCTTTTTCAGGACGTTTTAGTGGATTTGAAACTCTTTGCATTGCTCCTACTTTAATCCTTCATCCTCACAAGAATTATGGAATTCTATCTCAGAATTCCCTCCCACATACATGCTAACTATGTACAAAGTGAGTTTAACAATATGCAAGCGGAAAGTATTGACCAGGTCAGTACTTGAGCGCATATAAAGAGGGACCTACACTCACTGAGGTAAGGAGTTGAGTGAGGAGGTAGATACTTGTGATGTTTCACTCTGTGAATATCTAAACTAGTAAAGATAAGCTCTGGTTTCATTTTAACAAATTGGCTAATCAGAAGTTTGACATTACAATCTGAGTTTTCAAACAATGATTACTTGATTCATCTCAACTGGACTCCTACTTTTCCAAATTTGGCTATCCTCCTAAATGCATCTTTGGAAGTGTGTGTTTCATCATCTGACACCTTCATGTTTACATTTTTCTGTGTCGTCTGATAAGTCAGATTGACACCCTGGGATATGTACGAAACATTGGAGTAATGGAAACACTGGTCTGAAAGAAAATATAGTGAGTAACAAAATCATTGTCACTACGAGTCACTTATTCTAAGCAACAGGCATTGGGCATACATTTGGTTTTCTTGATTTAACTTGCTCAAATTAAATTTAAGCAATCTAATTTCCTTTCCAATTTCCTGTGGGTTTTCTCTTACTGGATGATTAATTTTTGGGTGATCCTGGTGTCTCCTTTTCATCTCATCAAACCGAGCCTCCTCCTCTTTCCTCTTTTCTTCATCTAATGTTTTCAAGTACTCCCTCCTCTCATGTTCCTTCAGCATCTCATATTGCTTAAATTCTTCATGCCGTTCTTTATCATAGTTTTCCAGGTCACTGGTCGCCTATATGTATTAAAACCAAAAATAAAACAATTATACTGCTCTGAATATACAGCCCCATAATTCTCAGTGAGACCTGGAATAAGGATGGAAATAGAAACGTTGCAGTATCTACTGTGCAAGCAGAATGATCTGCAATAAATAATATATCATTGCTTCATTGATACAGGTATACATTTACTGGAAAAAAATTGAAAGATATGCAACAGTTTGGACATTTTGGGACTGAAAATTGATTAAAGCCATATGCTTTTATTAAGAAAGTTAAATCAACACATCATTGTGAGCTGCAAGGCGACTGCTGTTTACAGATTAGTCAAATGATATTGGAGAAAGCAAGCAATGCTTTCAAGGAGACTAGAGATGGGATTTTCAGTGCTACGTTTTCAAAACCAGATTTTTCCAAAAACTTTCAGAGCTCTGTACTAATGATTGCTTAGGAACACTTTCTAGGCTTTGTTTTCTGTTTTACAGACTCAATCACTAAGAAATAAATCATAAGAAGCTGCAAGTCTCTTTTTTTTTTCCCTCAGTATATATTCCTGGAAACCTGATAGTTTCCATATACTGGTACATCTGACCACTTTGTAAAAGCTGGATAAAAAAACTGGTGTGAGACCATTTTTCAAAATCTTGGGTCCAGGCTAATTACAATCAGACCTGAAGCTCTCCCATCAATCTAGGGCTGTCAATAATTTGATTTTGTCAACAGAAAACCAGTGGACCATGCAAATTCTATCCATTGTTCTCAGACCCTTGGCCACAGGGCTTTTTATCTCCCTTTCCGTCTTTTTGAAAAAAGGCAGGTCATCTCTACAGAGATCATTGTCTTTTTGCATTCACAAGTGTGTCTTTGTTTGGGTTTAGGGGTATACTGTGTTAAATCTAGATTACAGTTTGATGTCAAGCAGTTTTGGCCACTCATTTTAAGAATATTCTTAGTTTATAATTAAGAGATTATTTTGAATTTATTAATCCAACCTGGCAAATGTCTTCTATTTTGAACAGTGATACAAAAAAATAGCAACTGGCCATCTTGATGATTGAATTAACACCTACATGGTAGGCTGCACCTGCTGACACCAAGGAACATATATATTAGCAGCAAAACCTCTCAAATATCAAAATTTTGCAAAAAAAAACTTTAATGAAACAGTATACTACATAACTTTTAAGCAAAATAGATCTTTTATTTTAATTTTGAAAAATCAGACTAGTATTCTGTGCATATGCAAGCAGCAATAATTGGTAGAATGCATGCATGGTTAGTAGTCAACATCAACATGTCAGTGTCAGCAAATGGAACCTTTATGTCAGTAATGGAATGGGCTTGAGGGGCTGAATGGCCTATCCTGTTCTTACGTACCTATAGTGTGACTGGAGGAATAATGCAGGTTGATCATCAGTGTATTCCTGCCATCACAGTGGTGACAGATTGCACAATATTTAATGACTACTTACAGTTTTAATCAATAATTCCAAATCTTCTGGCTCAAAGCTATGGGGGTTTTGGTGATTGAGATGTTCAAATTGTTTCAACAAGGCATGATGGTCTATTCCTGCATCTGAGAGGTTAAAAAGATGATGTTAGTTTGCTATGCAGACAACAAGCATTTCGCTGTTTAGCTCATAGCAATATTTTCTATGGAAGAAAAAAACTACAATAGAACACACATCTAAAATCAAGATTTAACTTTACCCAGAAGTGTCAGGCCATTTCAACCACAGACAACAGCACAAGAAATTATCCGCAAAAGGGGTACATTCTGAATTCAATAAACATTTCCACTTGTGTAGCAAAGTTCCTTTCTTCTGAGTCAGCTAACAATAAACTGATTTGAGACCTCTGTCCTCTAGCTAATAACATTCTAATTAATTGCTTGAATCCATCCTTTGACATACCAAGCACATATTGATCACCTATTCACTGCTATCCTTATTAAAACTTGGGATCCCCAGTGAAACAAAGATTGTTTAATAGGGTATAGATTCAAGTGTGAGTCATTGCAGGCTATAAAGAGATTCTTTCAGCTTTCATTAAAAATTTGTCGAGTCAGGATTAAAATAAATCTTGTATATCTCACTAGAGAAAAACAATAATATTTCTTTACCACTTGCTAATATTACATGTGTCATAGACACGGTCATACATAATAAAAAAAATTACATTGCAACTATATTTCGTATCGGATTCAAATTCTTATACGTTGAAATGGAATTGATACAAAACCTGATAAGGGAGTACATGACCCTCAATACATTTAAGAAGCATTCAGATGGACATTTGCAATGCCAAGGTATGAAGCTATGGGTCAAGTGCTGGAAAATGCAATTTGAATAGTTAGGTGGTTGTTGTTGACTGGTGGAGACTTGCTGGGATAAAGGGATTTTTTTTTTTCTGTGCTGCATACCTCTATAAATATGACAACAATGGATTAGAAGATACACTTTTAACACATCTGATTGCAGTATGAATCAAGATTTTATACTCCAGTCTGAACAGCCTTCATTAACAAAAACAAACACAGTAGAAAAGGCAGCAACAAACTGTTTATGTACAGTACCTTTACCTTGTTGTGCATCTATTTTGGCTTTAATAAGCATTCGTAGCCGGGAAACTTCCTGTCTTTTCAATTCGTCTAATTTGGTTCTCACAAGATGACTCACTAAGTTTAGTTCTTTAGCCAATTTTCCACTCTTCATTAAAGAAATAGAAACAGAATGATTAACAGAATCATCCAAAGGATCAATTAAATATCACAGTGATCACAAAATTTTCACTGATGAAGTTCAGTTCCTCTCGGTAAAATTTCCTGTAGAAACCCATAATCCTTAACATAACTGACCTACCAAAACAGCCATCACACTATCCAATGGTCTACTCGTGGTTGAAAGCAAATAAACTTTTAACCAATGATCCCACAGCCCATTCCATATTCAACTACTCAGAAACGTCTAACTTGGAGGAGAAACAAGTACTTCAGTGATATCACTGCAGGGTATAAAATCAAAATAGCCCCCACCCCACACTCATAAGTCAGGCTGGAACGAGCCTGAAGCTTACAGACAGTTCATCATCCCAGAAGGAAAGCACAAATAAAGCTCTGACTTAACTGTAGATGTTTAGTCCCAGTTTTGCTGTGCTTACTGATCTCATACCTATGAATAAAAAAAACTGAAAAAAAGGAGCTAAATATATTTTATGAACTTTTATTTTGCGAATTTACATGGTTGGAAGTACCACCAAAATTCTGAAACAGAAGTTTAAAGTATAGCTGCAGCACAAACAAATATGCAACAATGCCTATTCACATCTGCAATGAGATTGTAAATGAGTCACTGTTCAGAAACGCAGCTTTGATTTTATTATAAGCAGTGTAAGTTTGAAACGGTTTCACAAGAGCATAAACAAACAAGATTTGACACGGTTCCACAAACAGCAAAATAACAGGTGGTTAAATGTACACTGAGACTTAAGGAGAGTTGCAGAAATATAGAAGTCTAGACAGAAAAAGCTGAAGCATAAATAATGCCTGGCAGCTAAACTAATTGCAGATAATGGTAGTATGTGAAAGTCATGAACACACAAAACATCAAAATTGAAAGAATGCAGAGTTCTCAGACAGTTTTGTTAGGCAAGAGGCGACAAAAATAGTGTAGAGTAAGGCCATGAAGTGATTGGAATACAAGATATTTAAATTTGAGATAACAGGGTGTAGAGCTGGATGAACACAGCAGGCCAAGCAGCATCAGAGGAGCAGGAAGGCTGACGTTTCGGGCCTAGATGCTTCTTCAGAAATGGGGGAGGGGAAGGGGGTTCTGAAATAAATAGGGAGAGAGGGGGAGGTGGATTGAAGATGGATAGAGGAGAAGATAGGTGGAGAGGAGACAGACCGGTCAAAGAGGCGGGGATGGAGCAGTAAAGGTGAGTGTAGGTGGGGAGATAGGGAGGAGATAGGTCAGTCCAAGGAGGACGGACAGGTCAAGGGGGCGGGATGAGGTTAGTAGGTAGGAAATGGGGGTGGGGCTTTAGGTGGGAGGAAGGACAGGTTAGGGAGGTGGGGACGAGCTGGGCTGGTTTTGGGATGCGGTAGGGGGAGGGGAGATTTTGAAGCTTTAAATTTGAATCGTTTCTGGACCAAAGGCCAATGTAGGTTAGTGAGCAAGCAGGCAATGGGTGAACAGTGCTTGGTGAGAGTTAGGTTATGGGTAAAGGAATTTTGAGAGCTCTGAAGTTTTTGAGTCGACTCTCTCCACAGGATACCACTGGAATCAGTAGTTCTGCAGGTAACAAAAGCATGGGTGAGGGTTTCAGCAGCAGATGGGTGAGGCAGATGCATTATGTGGGTGATGTTACAGAGGTGAAGGAGTGATCTGGGTCATGGAGAGGATATGGATTGGGACTTTAGATCAAATCGGATGTCACGATGCAAACAAGCAACCTAGTCAGCCTCAGCCAGTGGTTAGAAAGCAGAATGGAATTAGTATGTATATGAAACAAAGATTAGGGCAGGAGATGAAGACAATGGCTTTGGTCTTCCCAATAATTAACTGGAAGACTTTTCTGTTCATTGGCCAAGTAGCTCAACAATTCAGATATGAAGATGATGTCAAGACAGAGCAGGAAATCATGAAGAACAGAAATTGTTTTTTCTAATAATGTTGTAAAGGTGCAGCTTGCAAATAAGAACTAGAAGTGGGGACCACGTGGGTGGGCTCTTGTAGCACAGCAGTAGTGTCCCTATCACTAGGCCAGAAGTTCCAAGTTCAGAGATGCTCCAGGGGAGTGTATAACATGTCTGAACAGGTTGATTAAAAATATTTACATCTTGAAGGACCTCAAAAGGCGACAATACAGGAGCAATAAAGAATCAATTTCAGCAGACTCTCTAATAAAAACAAAAATACTGTGGGTGCTGGAAATCTCCAATAATCACTGAAAATGCTGGAGAAACAGATCTGGCAGCATCTGTGGGCAGAGAAACAGAGTTAACATTACGAGCCCAGTATGTTCCGAACCAGTTCGGAAGAGCTGTATCAGACATTTTCTATTTCAGCAGACTCTCATTAACAATAATTCTTAACTGGCAGCATACCTTTATTTCATCTATATTTGCTGTCTGAAGTTTGTCCCGAAAATGTCTGTCTGTTTCCAATACATCAATTACTTCACGGAGGTAGCGATCGTAATACAACCCAGTGTCCTGCGGGAAATTGTGGGGAAAAAAAAAGAGAACATGCAATAGAATTCTGGTAAAGTAAATGGATTTTTATCAGTTAGGGAGTGCACAGTTCACTGTTCCAAAGATGTCAAGAGGTGGATTTTTATAGAACACAGCCAAAGCAGCCAAATAGTCATAACTTTGCCTCTTTCAAAACAAAGTGCCCCATGCTGACCAAATTAAGTTTCAGAAACATTAGTGAGGTGATATTGCTGAAGATATGATCAGAAACACAAATTTTCAGGGTGTTATGGATGGTACAGTAAACTAGTAAGACAAAGTGGTTTAGGCAGAAATTTCCAGAGTGAAGGCCTGCAGTGACCATACTCCAAATAACATCCTGGTTGTATGGAAAACCATTGTATCAAAATTTATAATTCAGTATTTATTCTCTTGTCAATATTGTCTCTCGAATTTCATGAAAGTAAATGGGCATATGAAGTGCTCATGCTACGCTCTTTCACCTGTCAGAAAGCAATCAGTAGTACATGTATAGATTTTGTCCAACCAAACATTTTGAGCAATGTAGGACTGACTAAAGTCTGATGATTACAGTTTGAAATGGTTATAGGAACAATTTAAGATGAATTATGATTAGTACAACCCAAGAACTTAAGGCAATATACACAAAGTTAAATTTGTGTGCCATTTTTCAAAGGGCATTAACAAGAATGAATAAACAAGGCTCATAACAAATACACAGTTATACTCAGATGGTGTAATATGGAAAAAGCACAGGGTGCTGGAGTTTAATTGTATAAGTCACAATTGCACTAATTTCTTTGCATGATACTACATTACTATAATCCACATCTGGCTGTAAAATAATTGCAAACTAACATTTTTGTTTTGAAATTTTGAGAAAGGCTCACCAATAGTGCGCATGGTGTAACACATTCATTTAGGATTCAGCAATAAAAGTTCAAAAAGTGGACTGAAAATGAACAATCAACTCAACACAGATCATGAATTGATCCCAATCCGTAGAGATGTACAGAACCAGAAAATATCAGGTCTCTTTCATCTGGCCACTTCAAGCAGGCAGGACTGAGTAAAGTTTTACTAATAAAGACATCGAGGAACTTCCAAGGAAAAGAAGTTGAGGTAGCCCTTTCAGCAGAGATGATGTGGCGTAAAGGAAATGCTATGCTCCCTAGCACTGTCATTATTTCTGACCGTTACACTTATGTCATTTTTTCTCATTGGAAAGCAGATAGTCTAGTAATATCTGTGTAGCATTCTGGGAAAAAATAAGAACAAGATTTATAGAAAACTCACTTTCTCTTGCTTAGAAAGTGAAAGCAGGTCAAAAGGGAATCAAATAGAAACAGAATAATTTTGGTCATTACTGAAGCAAAGGAAAAAAGGTTGCAGTTATCACTGACCAATCTTTGTCATCATAGAGTAATGACACCACATTTCTTCTGTAACTGAAGCTACATATTCCTTGGGCCCTTGACAAGTTAGATTCTGAGAGGTGGTTTTTCCTTGTGGGAGAGTATAGGAGCTGAGGGTATAATTTCAAGGCAAGGAGTTATCCATTAAAGACTAATGAATTTCTTCTCAGAATGGAGGATTCTCTGGAATTCTTTAATGCAAATGGCCGTGGAGGACAAAGCAGCCAATTTGACAGGCACTGCATCTACAAGCACCCACTCCCACTAGCGTGTACTCAGTAGCAACAGTGTGTACTATCTACAAGATGCACTGCAGAAATTCACCAAAGATCCTTAGACAGCATCTTCCAAACGCACGACCACTTTCATTAGTAGAACAAGAGCAACAAACACCCGAGAACACCCATTACCTGCAAGTTCCTCTCCAAGCCACTCACCATCCTGACTTGGAAATATGTTGCCATCCTTTCATTGTCGCTGAGTCAAAATCCTGGTATTCCTTCCCTAAGGGTATTGTGAACCAACCTAAAGCACGTGGACTGCAGTGATTCAAGACAGCAGCTCACCACCACCTTTACAAAGGCAATTAGGAACAGGCAATAAATGCTAGCCAGCTAGCAACGCTCATGTCCCATGAATGATTAGAAATAATGGTGGTTGGCAGTCAGTCAATCATCTCAGCACCTTAAAGTTTCTCAAGCCAGTGTCGTAGGCCAAACCATCTTCAACTGCTTCATCAGTTGACCTTCCCTTCATCACGAGGACAGATGAGGAGATGTTTAATGATGACTGAAATGTGTCAGATGTCGAAGCAGTCCAGGCCTAAATGTAACAAGACCTGGAAATCATCCAGGCTTGGGCTGATAAGTGAAAGTAACATTCACACCACACAATCAACAGGCAATGACCATCTCCAACAGAAGGACATCTAACCATCACCACTTGACATTCAATGGAATTAGCATTGCTGAACTTCCCACTATCAACAGTGGGGGTTACCACTAGTCAGATATTGAACTGGATCAGCCACGTAAAAAAACATGTGGCTATAACAGCAGGTCAGAGATAAGGAAATACTGCAGGGGGTAACTCACCACCTGTTTCCCCAATGCCTGTCCGCCATCAAAAAGATACAAGTCAGGAGAGTGATGGAAAACTCTTAACTTGCTTTTATTGGTACATCTCCAATTACACTCAAAAAGCTTGACCATCTGGGACAAAGGAACTCACTGGATTAGCACGCCATGCACCTCCTTCAAAACGATCACTCCCTTCACCACCAACGCCTGATTTATATACAATCTGAAAGATGCCCTAGAGTACCTCACCAAGAATCCTCATACAGCACTCCAATTGTGTACTCCTGCTCCTACCTCTTATACCATCACTATTCATAAACTGATGGGAAACAAAGCAAAGCAGTCATATCAACACTGACAAGAGCATGACTGTCAGAGAGTCAGAGAGATGGAAAGCACAGAAACAGATCCTTTGGTTCAACACATCCATGCTGACCAGATTTCCTAAACTAATCTAGTCCCATTTGCCAGCATTTGGCCCATATCCCTCTAAACTCTTCCTATTCATATACTCATCCAAATGCCTTTTAAATGTTGTATTATACCAGCCTCAACCACATCCTCTGGCAGTTCATTCAATTCATGCACCATCCTCTGTGTGAAAAAAAATTGTCCCTGGAGTCCCTTTTAAATATTTCCCCTCTCATCTTAAACTTATGCCCCTCTAGTTTTGGACTCCCTTATCCTGGGAAAAGACCCTGACTGTTCACCCTATGCATGATCCTCATGATTTTATAAAGTTCTAAACCCCTCAGCCTCCTCCAGGGAAAATAGCCCCAGCTTATTCAGCCTCTCCCTACAGCTCAAACCCTCCAACTCTGGCAACATTTTGTAAATCTTTTCTGAACCCTTTCAAGTTTCACAACATCTTTCCTACAGATGGGTGACCAGAGTTGAATTCAGTATGCCAAAAGTGGTCTAACCAATATCCTGTATAGCCACAACACAACCTTCCAACTCCTATATTCAATGCACTGACCAGAAAAGGCAAGCATTCCAAACGCCAAGGAACTATAAATCTGCACTCCAAGTTCTCTTTGCTTGGTAACACTCCCCAGGACCTTACTATTAAGTACATTCACTATTCAATGACAGTGTACAAAAAATGGGCTTCTTTCTTAACCCCACAAACACTTTACTTTCTCTGCTGGAGTTGGGCGAGGTTTGGGGGTGGGGGGTGGCTAGTGAAATGCTCATCATTTGCCCCTTTGGCTGCAACAGTAATAAGACACAAAAAGCCAAGAGAAAGCAAAGCAATTTGCTTGAATAAAGCCCCTGCCAGCCACTTCACTACCACCCCTCAAATCACTGCAGCCATCACTGTAATTATGTGTAATATACAAGAACATCCTGGCATGGAAGTATATTGCCATTCCTTCATTGTCACTGGATCAATATTCCGAGTTCCCTTTCAAACACTGTGGATATATACACTGGATGATTGCAGCGGTTCAAGAAAGTGGTTCAGCACCACCTTCAAGCACAATTATGGAAGGGCAATAAATGAAAATTATATCTAAAGAGAACTTATTTTTAAATAAACATACAATTCTATGATAACCCAACAATGTCAATTAGGGCGAAGAAGGAAATTTTTATGTGCAGGCAGGTTGCAAAGTGGATTTACTAAATGGGTAAAGGCACCACATGTGGCTGCTCTCTCAGAGACACTAAATCTAAGGATCGCTGCATCTCAGGTGAGGGGTGAGGTGGAGATGGCAGTGACTTCATGATGATTGCAGCCATGCAGGAAATGAAACTGTGGTGTCGGCATCACTCTGCGTCACAAACCAATCATCCAGCCAACCGAGCTAACTGTCCACCCACTAAATAAGTATTCACCATTTGCCTTCATTGCAGATGAAAATGCTGCCAATGTAGACAGAGCAATATTGAACAGGATAGAAATGGAATGCAAGTAAGTAGTTATAAGATCAGCAGTCCTCAAAAAGCAAAGTGTAAAGGCTCAGGTCACAAACATTTTCGGTGCTAGAGGACCAGAGAATTATAAATATTGAACCCTTAATTTTAAAAAATGGAAAAGCTATAGTCCTATCAATGGTGAGAAAACGGTTGGTGATAGTTCTGGACAAAATCCGCTGGCACTTGAACAAGTATGGGTCTTTTAAATGACGGACCATATATCACCAAACTTCAACCCTCTTGCTGTCTGAAGCAGAACCAGAAGCAGAAACGGATTGTTCACAGCTTTGGTTTTATATTTGACTCCCAAGATAAACATCTGACTACATACTCATAATATCACTGAGGCTGCTTACTTCCACTTCTGCAACATCATTACAATCCTTCAAGATATCTACACTCATCAAATTCTGGTCTTGAGGAGCCAAATTTTCTTTCTTCCACAATCAATGTCCTTACCTTCAGCTGACGAACATATACGCTCTGTAATTTTCTCTGTGCAATTCCCTGCCCCTTCATCAAGGCTCTCCTTGTAAACTACAATTACCTTGTGTTATCTGGTCTTGCATCTTCTTTGTGGCTC